TATATCTCTGCTGGGGTTCGGGGACTTGCTGGCCACTGCGGGTAGGGAGGGGCTGCTCTGGGCTTTTTGTTAAAGATGCTGCTTTTTCAAGGGAGTGTCTGCCTCCCAGTGTGGTTCACCTAGACCTCAGAGAGCAGGAGTGTCGGGGGGGGGGGTGTCCCCCGCCCCCATTACATGACCTGGCTTACAACCTCGGCTCACGCTCGCTAAGCCTTTGGAGGATGTGAGCTTGCTGGTTCAGGGTACAGTTCCTCTGGGAGGCTAAGCAGATCATTTTCACTCCTCACACTCTCCCTAACCCTGACCCTGAAACCGGGGAAGGCCAGGGCAGGCCCTGTGTCCCTGGCACCCAGTCCCTGTGGACACCTGCTAGGTCAGGCTCCCTGTCCTCCTCAGAGTGGCCTGAGAGGACAGCCCCAGCTTCACCTACCTTGCTCTGCGGTGGAGGGCCTGGCTTGCTGCTGTTTGGAGGGGCAGTGGCAGGAGTGGACAGGAACGTGCTTCGGAACAGCCTGTGCTTGAGGCTGCTCTCCTTGGGGCTAGGGCTGCCTTCCCCACCTGGCCTGCCAGTGGCTGAGCCCACCAGGCAGGACTGTGGCCGGGTCTCCTCAGAGCCATGCTTGGTAGCCTTCGTCCCACGCCTCCTCCCTGTGGCCACTGGGGGTGAGGCGCCAGGTGGGGAGCTCTGTAGGCAGGCACCTAGCTGCAGGCAGCGTTGTGAGGCACCCTGGAACTCAACAGGGCCCAGGGACTGTGCCTTGGCAGCCAGCCCATTAGGCAGGACCCGTGGGCTCTGTGGCTCAGGCCATGGTATCTGCCTGTGACCTGCTGGTGTGACCCCGTTGCAGCTGAGGTAGAGGCCGTGAGGGTCGGTGCGCTCAGACTGGGGGCTCTGGAGGTACATGTCGGGGTCAGCAGCCCAGTGCTCATCCCCTAGCAGCCCCAGGGACTGTGCCCGCCGTCGGCTGGTGGGGCTGCGGCCACGCAGGGTGTTGGAGCTGGTGACCGATAACTTCTGGATATCATTGAGCAGCCCTGAGATGTAGCCGTCCACGGGCACAGAGCTGCCCCGTACCACTGTCTGTAGGAGGAAGAGAAACGTGTGGATGAGCAGCTTCTTTGTGGCACGTGGGGTGGCCCATAGCCCAGAGTCTGACAGCCTCCTCGGGGGGCCCTCCTTTGCTGTGTCATCCACCCATTGGCTACGTTTTGTCATTTGCCAGTGCCCATGATGGGCCAGGCCTGTGCTAATGCAGTCCACAGGGAGAAAGAAAGAAGGGCAGACAGGTGGTAACTGTGGGCCCACCATCCAGTACACCTAGAGGGTACCCTGCTAAGCTGAACAGCTCAGGGAAGGGGGCTCCATTCTCTAGCTCCTCCCGTGGCCTTCAGAGAGACGTGCAGAGGTCTGAGGAGGCCAGGACCATCCAGGGCCCTCCTCCACACACGTCACCTTCATGGCCTCCATACCCTTGCAGTACCCCTGCCCCCAACTCCAACCCAGCTCTTGGATCAACCTATGTGGACCCCTGACCCAAATATCGCATGGGATATACTTGCACTAAAGCCTATTCATTGTTATCTGAAATTCAAATTTAATTGGGCATCTTGTATTTTATTTGCTAAATCTTACATTCCCTAAGGCCACGGACAGGACTCCCTAGGCTCCAGCTCCCTGCGTCCTCAGGGAGAGTCTGATCAGCAAAGAATGAAAGCAGCTGGCTCCACAGCTATGGAGTTACTGTTGAGGTCTCACCAGCACTGCCCACCCCACCCACCCCTTACCTTCATGGGCTGCAGCTGCACCCGGGTGATGCGCGAAGGGTCCACCACAGGCTTGGGCCGTCGCAGGGTGTCCAGGATGTTCTGCCATTGTGGGGGGAGGCCCACGAACTTGCCCTCTTTGGGGTCAAAGGAAGTGTGGACGCGGTGCTGGAAGTTCTGGGGGGCTGAGATCTCAGGGCGTTTCTTCTTCTTCTTGCGGAACATGGCGCCTGCAAGAGGAGGGGCAAGCTGGGTATCAGCTCAGGGACTATGGGGTGGCTGCAGTGGGTGCTGGGGCAACAGCTCAGGCCTTGCTCCCCTGTCTGCAGCACGGCCCCTCTGTCCTTGGACTGGGACTTCCCTTCACGTTCATCCCCACTTCCTCAGGGAAATGGCTGGCTCCCAGCAGACCAGTCTCAGAAACAACAAAAGTGCCACAAATAAGCCAACACAGACTATAAACAAGGAAAAGAGGTGTCTGTCTTTTTACCCGTGCCAAGCCTCCCGCCGAGGAGGCAGACTCTGGGGGTGTGTTTTTATAAAATCCACAGTCCATTACAAATATCACCCCATTGTCAGAGTCAAAAAAGGAGGAGAGAGGGTGGAAGGCTCTCAGACTCCTTTTATGAAGAGAGTTTGGCCTTGATTCTTCAACCAGGTAAGAAAAGAAAAATCTGAGCCAACCTCTACGAACATAAATGTGAAAATCCTAAGCAAAACTAGCAAATTGAATCCAATGGTATGTACAACTTTTTTTTTTTTTTTTTTATCACCATCAGCTCTGGTTTGTCCCAAGATGGCTGAACACTAGAAAACTTGTTAATGTGATACACAACATCAATAAAAACCAAGCAGCCAGTTTGCAATCACGTTGCCCAGGTTGAAGCTGGGGAACCTAGGACCAGCGAACCCCAAAAGGACCCTCAAGGTTACCAGGTGCTTTGCCTTAATCTAGAAAGGGCCTGAGCCTAGGAGACAGCTGGGGTGGGTGCAGGGTGGCTACCTTAGGAGTAAAGCTTGCCAGAGAAGGCATAGTCTCGCTCCTCCTGGAACTCTTCTTTAGCCCCAGAACTCTGCAAAATCATCACTTGCAGTCCAGCCTGCGTCCTTTGTCTTGTGGATTTGGGGTTTGCTGAAGGACCAACTGAGCTCCATCAACAGGAAGTGACATGGACTTGCAAAGGATAATGTAACTAGATCTGAGAGGGCAACTGGAAGCCCGGGAGGTACAGTCACTTCCAAATGCTGCTCAAATCTTGTCTTTGGGGAATCTGGACTGCATATTGACAGAAGACAGAGTCAGAGGTGCCCATCTGAAGTGGCTTAGAACAGCCCATGTAAAGTGGGTTCTTTTGTCACCTGGAAAAGTCACTTCCAGGTTTTAAGAAACAAAATGAATGTTTCCTTTTTTTTTTTTTTTTTTTTTGTGAGAAAGTTTTGCTGTATTGCCTAGGCTGCCTTTGAACTTCTGGCCTCAAGTGATCCTCTTGCCTCAGCCTCCCAAGTAGCTAAGACTACAGGTGTATACCGCTTCACATGGCTTGTGTTTCTTGATGTGTACATTTCAATTATTCATCTACCCAAAGATCTGGAGTGCCAGGCCATCACATTCTTTTGGTTTCTGCTCTGGAAACACATTCCTGGTCATTTTCACAGGTTCTAAAGAGAGGCACAGGTTTGGAAGGCAGCTTGTGCCCACTGAGGGAGGCAGGGGCCAGAAGAGCAACCGCATCTCCACCAGGAACTCTCCGTAAGCGAGGCAGTGTGAATCCAGGGCTTACCTTCTGAACCGTCAACCACTTTTCTGGACATTGAGGCTGAGGAGTCTCCCTCAGCCTCGACTCCTCAGCCTCCCTAAAACCAGAGCCACAGTGCAGGACCCCCACAGACCAAGGGACTTGGTGATGAAATGTGTCTGTTTGCAGTTGAAGAGGGGGGTCTCCCACTAATTTGGAGCTACTTGGAACAAGTTCCTAAATGATTTGAGCCTCAGTGTCCTTCATCTATCAAGTGGGGTTCGTGGAAGACAGCTTACAGGGTTTAGGGAGGGATAAGTGGATTCCCACTAGACGGTGCTTTTTCTCTTGCTCTGTTACCTCTCTCTGCACCCATCTCTAAGCTCAGGGTCTCCAGACACTGACCCCTGGGCAGGTTCGAGCCTGGGAGTGACTGCAATACCTTTCTGCTCTCATTTACCTCTCAAGGGGTCATGCCTGAATTCTGGGTTCTGAGACCTGGGAACCTCACTATATCTCCGTTGTGCACGCTTTATGGCTTGGTAAAATTTGAATACCTCCCTCTCAGCTTTGCCTTTTGTTACAGAAGGGTCTTCCTTCAGCAGGCCTCTCCTTAGAGCCTCTTGGGCAGGCCCTCTTTTCCTGAGTTAGTCAGTGGACCTGTTCGCCTTCTCCCTCATTTTGAAGTGTTCTGGGTGTGCAGAGACAAACCTTGAGCTGAAGAAATGCTGACTGAGATGTTTCCTAGAACACCCCTGTCGCAGCCAAATGCTAGGCTCTTGCTGCAGGAATGCACAGGGTGGGGGAGGCCTCTTTAGCAAATGGTCTAAATGACTTGGGACACCCCCCCTTCTGAGTCCAACATAACATCGGTTCCTGGACAAGATCTTCCCAGAGATAGAAAGAAGACCTGAGGAGAAAGATCAGCCCAGAGTCCTGGGATCCTGGGATCCTGGGATGGGGGGAGAGGGAGGGGTAGTTGGCAGAAAGCAGCAGCCAGCTAAGTACAGGCTTTGGGGTGGGGGGACAGGGATTTAAAAATCCACCAATCATTTAGATAATGAGAAATCAGTAATCTAAAGACAGGTTAGTAATAGTCATCTGAAACGTGGTGAAGTCAACCCTGCTGGGGACAACACAATTGTGTAAGTAGAAAATTCTAGCAGAATCTACATACAGATTACTGGGATTAAATAAGTGAATTTAGAAAGTCCTCCATTCAAGGTCAACATTTAAAAAAAAAAAAGACAACTGAATTTCTTTGTACAGTAACCAAACAGAAAATGAAGCAAGAAGATACATTTACCACTTTACATTAAAAATAGCAACTATCTAGGAATAAATCTAATGAAAGGGCTTTACATTGAAAAACGAGACATTATTAAAGATATTAAGGAATGTTCACAGATTGGAAGATTTAATAATACTGTCAAGATGTCAATTACTCCCAAATTAACCTAGGGGTTTATTTCAATTTCAGCATATTTCTTTTGGCAGAAATTGACACACTGATTCTAAAATGTACAGAGAAACACAGAGAACCAGGAATAGCCAAGGCAATCTCAGAAAACCAAGTTGGAGGAGTGTACTAAAAATAGATCGAGATTTATTATAAAGCCACCATAATTAATATAGTGTAGAATTGGCACAAGGATTGACAAATACAGCAACAGAAGAGAGAATCCAGAAATAGACCCACTCATATGAGGTCACTTGATTTATGACAAAGGTGACATTGCAGCAGGGTGGGATAGATGATCTTTTCAACAAATGTAGCTGAAGTGATTAGACATTCTTGTGAAAAAAAAGGAACCTGAAAAATGAGTTCATATCATACCCCCAAATAACCAGAGACAGATCATAGACGTGACCATGTGACTGGCAGAGTTATAAAGCAGGGGCGGTGGGGGGAGGTGTGGCACAGCCTGGCTGTTCCCTGCCCCCACAGTCTGCTGTGATTAACTACGTAGGGCCCATGTTTGGTGGGTTGTCCTGGAGCCTCTGACCTGCTAGGGCCCAACCTGTCTACACTTGTAAGTCCCAGAGACAAATGAAACCATCCAGATTTTTCCCAAAGCAGAATTCTTGCTGGTATAAATTAGGAGTAGATCAGTACTAAAGATTTCCCCTATATTAATTCGCCAGTGTAGCAGGCGTGCAGTAAGTATTTGAAAGAAATACATCAAAATAATTGCTGTCCTCTTTGAGTGATAGCGCTACAGGTGATTTCCTTCTATCCCATCTTCCTACACTTCTGGAGTTTTCTTGAAGATAATGGATTCTTGGGCTGGAGGTGTGGCTTGCCTGCCTACATGACAGCCAACATGAAGCTCTGAGTTCAAACCCCAGTATTGCCAAAACAAAACCCTGATGGCCTGCTTTTCTAAAGAAAAAAAAAAGAGTGATCCATGAAGGCTGAGTGCCTAAGAGATGTTCACTCACTTGCCCAAGTATTCAGAATTCCCAGCCAGTGCAAGCAAAACACCTGGGACACAAATGTCCCTGTTCAGGGTACACCCAACTGTTCAGTCAGAGGCCCCCAACTTGCCTTTTCTAGGGCTCCCTTTTCCACCAATTTCCACAGGCCTGGGGGTTAGGGAGGCAGCTTTTGCATTCACCATGAACCTGTGGTATTCAATTAAATAGGGCCTTTTGGTATCATACTCATTTATCCAGGAAGAAGTTGTATCAGAGGAAGGAAGGAGGAAGGGAGGGAGGGAAGAAGGGAGGGAGGAAAGAAGGGAGGAAGGAGGAGGGATTTTTCTCATACAGCCAGCCCCAACCCTTCCTTCTGCCTAGCCTGAAAGCAATGTTGTGGCCCTCAGATCCAAGGTAGAAATGGGCGGAGGGAGGCTCAGGTGGCCTCCTGCTTCTCATTGACACTCTCCCTAACCCAGGGGAGGGACTGGACCTGGTTAGGAACGCACTATGGCATTTGAGGAATGCTTTCAACATCATCTTCCAGGTGGCTGACCCAAGACTGGGCTAGAGGGGCTGCCTGGAGCTGGGAGGCTAGAGTCTAGCCCAAACCAGTTTGAGAAGGAAGCTCCCCTGGCATGGGTCCTGACACTTCCTGGCAGAGGCTTTGGGGAGAAGTGCTTGCTATACTCAGGAAGCCCAAGGGCAGAGCTAGTAGGCGAGTTCAAGGAGCCACAGGCCTGGGGTCACTGTGGTGTTGGAGGAGTGGGAGCCTCAGAGTCAGAAAGGGTAGTAGCTTTTCTTAAACACCTATTATAGGCTGGGCCCTTTCTAAGGTTAGCAGTCCTGAGAGGTGGCAATTATTATCCACAACCCAGGTGAAGCTCTAATTGGGTAAACAATTTGCCCAGGGTTATAGAAACAGGAAATGGCTGAGTTGGGAGCCTGAACCCAACCTGATCTCAAAGCCCCTGCTCGGTCCCTGTGCCCATCCTGGAGGCAGCTGGGCTGCTGACCAGCTCCTTCCCTGGACTTATTGTAAACTCCTAGGAGTCTGTGCGAAGTGGAAGT